CCAGTTATTTCACAGTACTCATGTTGCTGGAGGTCCAACTCCTCATCCTCCTCAGCTATCATTACCCGCAACTGCTTAAAGGGGCAGTCATGCCCTGGTGTAAATGGTTTCTTACACCTAAAGCATAATCCTTTCGCCCACAATTCTGCAAACTCTTTCGGCGGAAGTCGAGTGAACTGTGAGCGTGTCGTGAGCTGCCCGGACAGCCCTGACTTTGTCCCCGGAGGCTGCCCAATGTCTTTAGGAAAGCTGCCATTCGATCCTCTTAAGCTGCCACCACCTATGGCCGTGCTTTTACTGCCAGTTGGGCGCAAAAAACTGCTCGAATGCAAGTTTGTGTCGAAGGGTTGACTTTCCCAGTCTCCCTCTTGAAAGGACAAGTTGTGCTCAATATCTTTGGCCAACTCCATTGCAATCTCCAGGCTGTTTGGCCGCAGCAATCGTAAGGATCCCCGAATCGGTCCCTTCAGCCCGTTCATGAAATACCCCAAATAGTGATCATCGGACAGTCCAGGAACTTGACTGGCCAACTGCACAAAAAGGTTATTGTATTCTTCTATGGTTCCCAACTGTTTGGCCCCGGACAGCCGTTCAAATCGGTTGCCCTTGAACCGTGAATCAAAACGGGCCACCAGTGCATCTGTGAATTCCTCCCAAGTCAGGCCCGGTTTCCGTGCCCTCAACCAGGTCAACCAGTACAGGGCAGCCCCTTCCATGGCTACAGTAGCTGCTGCCACTTTGCTTCCAGGTAGGGTTTGATGAAGTTCAAACTGCTGCTCAGCTCTGGCCACCCATCCGATGGGATCTGCTCCATCAAACGCAGGCAACAAGGTCGGAGTTGTGATGCGCGGCAAACCTTCGCCGCTGGTTGGAGTTGTGGCGCGCGGCAAACCTTCACCGCTGGTTGGAGTTCTGGTGCGCGGCAACCCTTCGCCGGTGGGCGCGGTCGCTGCTGTGCTTCCGACGGCCGCCGTGGATGTTTCCGGCGACATTGGCGGCACAAGGGCATGCGTCAGCGCTGCCAGGGAGGCGACGATCTCCGCCAGCTTTGCACCGTGGTCTTCGAGCGTCTGGTTCATGCGCTTCTGCTCGAGTGCCATCCGGGTTTGCTCAGCCCCCAGTCGGGCCACTTCCTCTCCCATTCGGTTCTGCTCGTTTTCCATCTCTGTCAAGCGTTCATTCTGAGTTCTGGTCATCTTGGCGGGACGGGATCCGGCAGGTCGGACCAATTAATGTGTAGCAGACAAATAAAATCAACGGGATGAACCGTTGCCCAGATAATCAACGATAAAAATACCGTTGCCCAAAGCCAAAAGGCTAAACCAACTTTTATTCCCAGATAATCCGAATGAACCCTAGCAAGGGGTATAAATAGCTTCTACAAGAAACCCTAATCAAGCCCAAATTACTTAAACCCTAATTAAGCCCAATTTAACTTAACTAACCACTCTACTAATAATAGGCCCAACTAAAACATAATGATAAATTTTATAAATAAATAAAACTATAATCCCTAGCCCAGAACCGGCCCACGGAAGTGAGCCCAATCCCGTTCCCGCCCCAGATTCTTCTTGCTCTCTATCAAGTACCCGCACTCTCATCAGACCCATAGTGAAAATCGCGTCCAAAATTGCATGAACTGACTATTGCTTCATAACAAAGAAGCGCAGATAGTTTAGTGAGCCATTTTTCTTTATTCCATCATATTCTGAAGCAAAAAAATAGTGAATCTTTGGCTCCATCGGAAAACATAGTGTAAAACAAGTTGGGTAAAGAATTTTGCTCCATGAAGTTCATCAAGTAGTTCATCAATGAAGGGGATGGAAAATTTATCTTTGATGGTGATAACATTATGCTCTCGATAATCAACGCAGAATCTTTGATGGTGTTTGATTATGAGCAGCGCTGGGGAAGAAAAAGGTGAGTGTCTAGGTTGGTTTATGCCTGCCTGAAGCATTTCATTGCACAGTTTTTCTATCTCCTCCTTTTGTAGCCGTGGATAATGATATGGGCAAAGAACGGCTAGGTTAGAACATAGAACCGTGTTTGAGTGGAATTTGATGGTCACACGGACAGGCAGGAGGTAGAGTTGCGGATTTCGTGAAATAGCATCAAATTGTAATAATAGATGATCAAGGGCACAAGTAGTTGTAACCTGGCTAGATTATATAGAGCTAGATAATACAGAGCTGCACAATTTGTTTTATTCGCCTTGCCACGTGACAGAATGATTGTTGATTTTTGTTAGGTACTAGCTAATTTCACAGTAAATTCAAGAATCAAGATGAAGAAGATAGAGGGTGTATCAACTGAAAGTGTCGTTTAACAGAAATTATAGAAAGAGAAATACGAAGGCAGTTTAAGAGTGCCCACTCTCCAAGTCCCAAGCCTAATTGATAATTCCAAAAACTCCTTTCTATTTATACTAACTCTAATACTCTTCTGATTTCTTATTATTCTATGTGGGTCCCTATCATTAGTTTCATTACTCCCCCTTTGACAACCACCTTTGTCCTCAAGGTGGGTGATAGGAGACAGTCCTGATGAACCGCTTCTTCTTCGTTCTTGCGCCTCTTCCTTCCCACTATCTTCCAAATTCCAGGGCCCTGATTTTCATGAGCTGAACCATTGCTATCACTTTTTCCATAACAAGCAGCTGAGGCAAGGGCATGGTTACATGATGCTTCACTAAAACCTGGCCAGCACCAAGTGCTACAACCCCTACAGAGCCATTCTCATGGGCTAGGCCATCTATAATTGCAGGAAGAACTGGTGATGCTCTTTGATGAGAACAGTTTTATATGCTATCTGAAACAATTTCCAATATAATATAGATTCTTCCTGAATGAGTAGCAACCACAATCATACCCCTCCCACCATTTCTGAAAACTGATATAGGGGCCATGTGGATCTGCTCTATACCTTCAATATATCTAGCCTCATAATATTTTTCAAGGAGAAAACTGTTCCTCTTGTTTGCTTCAAACAATTCTGATATGCACGTGAACTGTGTTCCAAACAGCCCCTGAGATAAACATTCCTGATTTCTCTTTGCTTCCCTAACTGGATCTTCATCCAACTTTCTTAGCTCAAGTGAGGAGAAAGAAGCCTTTAAGATTTTTCCAAACAAGTAGGGCTCCACTTCTATCTTTCCAACATCATCAACTAGCCTGGATTCCATTATAATTCCACAACTGGAACAGTTCACTTCGAGATTATTGAAGCATAAGACCATTTATAAGGTTGAAAATTTACTTCAGCTTCCATTCCATTAACACCAGTCTGAATAGCAGAGTCCAGGTCCACACTGATTCTACACATCAGGTATCCTGAAATAAGTCCAAAAACATTGCCATGATTCTTAAAATTGTTAACAGCACCGAACGCCTTTATTGTGTGAATTTTTCTTTCAACAATGCTACCACGACCAAATTCATCATCCCATCTTAATCCGGAATCAGAGAAGTCCCCATTTGCAGAAAGTACCAATTTGCACCCTTCAACCTCAAGAATAAAAAACTGGTCCTGACTTTCAACAATATCAACGCACCTCTCCATCCATCTATTACTAATTGTTCTCAACATACTGTCACATTCTTGATGACTTGATCCTTATCTCTTTTCCTGAGAATCTTGAGCTGTGGACCAGCATTTGTCAAATGAAATCTGTAATCAAAATCTAAACCTCTATCTTGAACAATTATACAAACTAATGGCAGTCCCATAACCACCTCACCAACTATAATGGCCTCAGGGAAACGACCAGGAGTGAGATCTTTAACAAACATCAGATACATGACAACTTCAACACCGGTAACATATCCGTTATATTCTGTAATATTCCCAGTAAATCCTCCTTCCAACCCATTTTGAGTATCCATCATAGAAGTAACACCCTCACATATGAAACTATCAAACTTGTTGAATGACGTCAGCCCTTCCAAAGTAATGTTTAATGAATGATAGTACACCATTTCAGACTTTAAAACATTAGGCCAGTTCATCTCCTGTAATAACCTAGAAGTCATTGTGGACTTTGCCACACAAGCATCAGTGTCACATGCCTGCAGAATCTTGAAAATATTGGTTCCCGAATCTGACTTGACGGACATGTACTTGAGAAAATGAGCAATTGTGCCAACTTCCGGTCCAACGTTCACTGACAAATTCTCCTCGCTTTCATCATTGCCCTCAGTGACTTTCTCTTCCCTAGGCGATGAAGAATAGGCTCACGAAGAAGTCTGAGAACTGGAAACATCTACTCCAGACGAAGCTTGCAAACTGGAAAAAAATGTTGGTGAGGAATCCTGCGAAAGACTGAGTGGAGCTGTTTGTGATGAAGATGGTGAACCAAGGTTGTCAAAGTCCAGCGCCTGAGCGCTTAAGCGCACCAGGGGCAGGGCAATAGAGGTCCAGCGCTCTAAATATGACCAGGCCCACCCTCCTCTCTCAGGCGCAGCTTAGGCGCACCAAGCGCAGAAGCGCAGCAGTGATTTTAAGCTAGCTTATCGCGCCTGACAGGGGAATTGGGAAAGTCTATTTTACGTTTTACCGAGGCAGTTTCTCACATGTGCTGTCAAGTAAGACCATTAAGAAGCCCATATTTTTAATAAAGCCCATGTAAATAAGGTTAAAAACGTAAAACAACGTAAAACGGGTTTAATGCACCAAACCCCCTCGTGATATAGAAATTCAGCGCATTAGCCCCTGTGATTTGAAAAATGCGTCAAATCCTCTTGTGTTTTAATTAATCATGCACAAAACCCCTTTTATGAATAAATTTAACGATTTGGAAATCACTTTTCCTAATATTATGATCGAATATGCAAAAACATATGTCAAAATCTCTAAATCATACAAAAATGTTAATTATTTTTCTTTTATTTGACAATTGAATTTGTTCATAGAAGAGATTTTGCGCATAATTAATTAAAACACAAGAGGGTTTGATGCATTTTTTAAATCACAGGGGGCTAATTCGCCGAATTTCCATATCACAGGGATTTGGTGCATTAAACCCGACGTAAAACACATGTTCGTAAAACACCAGGTGAACAGTAAGAATCGACGGGTGATGAATATGAGTGGTAAAGATCGGCGAGTGAGGAATCCATCGAACTTGGAAATTCTCCCATCGATTGCGTCGCACTTTGACGGAAAATGAGAGCTGATGAAGGAACCTGGGAAAAAATCTGCGAAGAAACCTGCAAACTGGGGACATCAACTACGAATTGCGAACTGGGAGGAACTGTTCGCAACTGCGAACTAGCCTCTTGTGCTTGCGATGATGCTGACAGACTGCAAGAAGAAGTTTGCGACCAATCCTGTGAACTCAGAAACGGTTCGTGACTGCGAACTGTGAGACGAAGTTCGCGACTTACCTCTGGCTTCAGACGATGTACGACTCTCATGTACAGTGGTGCCTTGAAGTTCTTGATTTTCTTCGTTCATGTCGAGCGTTCTGCTGCAGGATCAATTCACGCCATTCCGTGATCTCTTTCCGCCTTTGCGTGTGATAGCGTTCAAAATTGCGTTCCAGGATCTCCAGTCTACTTTCCATCGTTCCTTGAGTAGCTGACGCTCTGATACCAATGTTAGGTACTAGCTAATTTCACAGTAAATTCAAGAATCAAGATGAAGAAGATAGAGAGGGTGTATCAAGTGAAAGTGTCGTTTAACAGAAATTGTAGAAAGAGAAATACAAAGGCAGTTTAAGAGTGCCCACTCTCCAAGTCCCAAGCCTAATTGATAATTCCAAAAACTCCTTTCTATTCTACCCTTAACCTCTATTTATACTAACTCTAATACTCTTCTGATTTCTTATTATTCTATGTGGGTGCCTATCAGTTTTGAAACTCATTGTGAGTTCAGAAAAATCCCGTGACACAGCTCCCGAAGTTTGCAACCACTTAATGCCAAGTACCAACTCAAAACCTCCTAGGGGCAAGATGTATAGTCGAATCTGAAAGAGTTGGGCTCCTTTTTGTATGCAGACGTTGGACCATAGCCGGGGCCTGCATTTTTTTCGCCATTCGCCACAGCACTTGGAGTCCATGACAGTCTTGGATGGATACTCAGCCCCAACTTCTTTTCCGTCCCTTCATTAATAAAGTTGTCAGTGCTGCCAGAATCGAAGAGGGTCTTAACAGGCTGCTCGTTGTTATATACAAAAACTTGCATAGTTTGTGTGTGAGTAACACCAGTGATGCAGTGTAGAGAAATTTTAAAATCAACTATATCGTCAATTGGTGTGGACTCGCCACTTTCTACCTCCTCAATTTCTAGATAAATGGTTACGGAAAAACTGTTCGCATTGGTGAAGCCAACCGAGCGGATCCTTCTTACCACTTAACACGGGGAACTCCAAACGTGGAAACTTTGGCAGGACAGTACTAGAGTGTCCACCTCTCCTGTTGTCCACCATTTCTGTAGAGGGAGGAGGGTTTGTAGCAGAGATAGCATTGGTATTTGAACTCGAACGAAGCAAGTCATGTATGGCTGTAACTTGGGCCTCAAGGGAAAGCATGCAATCGTTCGTGGAGGCGGTGGAGCCTTCTGTTGCGGTTGGTTGTTCCTGGGTACCCATGACAACTGTCTCGAATACCAAATTGTTACAGGCCCGGGTTTGAGATCGCGTCACAGGACGGTTCGAGGGAGTTAGGTTATTAGTTTCAGAGGAAGAAGAAAAATGTATATATTTAAGAGTATAATAGGAGATGTTGTTGAATTCTCCAAACTCCCTAGCTAAACTAATTGGGCAATTTTCTGATATGTTTTTATTTAAATCATTCTTCTCTTAAATAAAGATAGGAAATTACAACCACTCCTAAAAACTAGGAAAGTGGATCCATGATCTTAAACTGCTAATATGTAAAGCACTAGTTTTAAATAACCAACAACTAGCCTATGATTAAAAACTAACACACACGAATTTTAAAAAACAATACCAATTATTTTATACAACGCTGCAGCATGTTTTACAGGTCTCTTTGCTGTTTGCGATGTTGGTAGGTCCTAACAAGGAATGTATAACTATCACAATGCCTCTTCCTATGGTGGTTATCTTTCTCTCAATCCTTCCTTTCCGGATATACTGCTCTTATACCTGGTGTAATAACCTGGTTCCCTTAAAAGGAATATTGTAACTTAGTATGAGGCACCATTCGTAATTCTTCCTCACAACTTAGTTACTCCATTCAAAGACATGTATTGTTGGTGCATGAGTCTCTCGACCAGAAAAGTATCCCACAACCACTGCCTCCTTGTTGAATCTTTGCTCATCCCCTCTAACTTCAATGAAGCTCGTCGTCCAATGGTAAAGATCATAGCCTGGCAACGTCCTAAAAACGCCCCACCTTAAGCTTAATTTGGCACGATTCAGAAAAGAGATAATTATGCGCCTGGAGCGCTCATTAGAAATGATAAAAGAAGAATTTGCAGCAGATGCTACATTCAAAGTGAGTGCTCCTCTCAACAGGAAGCTGATTTAACATCACTATATAAGGCCCTTGCATGGAGTTGGTGAATTGGCTTAACTAGCTTGGAGGTAGAATTCCATGCAACTTATTTAATTAATCTCCACATCCATAATACTCCTCTTCTCGGCATCTATGTGACAAGTGGAATTATTGCCTGGCTTTCTAGACATGTTATACATGGGCACACAATATGAATGCAATTCAGTGGCTACTATGCTTGCTTATCTCGCGGAAGATCTAAATCTTTACAAGAAATTTCCCTCTCATTACTTTTCCCATAATCATCCGAGGTGCTTTAAAAATAGATTGTGAAGGAGTTATTTATATTGATTTCCAAGAATGTTATTGCCATCCTACCCAAGTTTTAGTTTCCTTACATATATATTTATATACCCAAGTTTTAGTTTTAGTTTCATTTATTTATTATATTGTGGAATGCAGGATGGAAGAATTTGGAAAGAGAGAGTTTTGAGCGTGCCAAAACAATCGGCTGATTTGCCAGTCATGCAGAAAGAGGCCTTAGCTACAACACATAGGGACCCCACTGGCCACCCTATTTGTTCATCTATCAGTGCACCAGAGCACAATATTCTCAGATTGCTTGAAGATCCTTGAATTCATCTCAAATTTTGTTTTATCATGTATTTTATATTCCTTCAACTAGTCTTTCACTATAGTAAACAAACTACATAGTCATTCAAAACTATTAGCATTAGCTACTTTATCTATTAATCTTGAAAAAAATCCAATAATCTTACTCATGTCAACAAATTAACATAGCGCTATGTAAAAAGTGACAGTAAGAAATTAGAGAAGCTTCCTCGTTTATATTATTATATATCTTAATCTCTAATTTAACACTCGCTAGGTGCAAGTCGGGTGATTTCGCCAATTTTTTGGGCGACAAGGCTGATTTTTTTTTTGAGCAACTGAGTTTTATTAAAAAAATATAATGAGTACAAACGCTAATGAAGGAAGAAAATTAGAGAAAAAGATCTAGTGAAAAGCAGCAACACAAGAAAATCAAACGCCAAGGGAAGAAAGTAGTAAAGGCCCGCCTACTCCAATCAAAATATCCGCCCCTCATGGTTCGTCAAATCCAAGAAATGATTCCCAATCAGCTTTGTTAATTTCCTACAGGCTACAAAATGATGACGACCCCGACAAAAAAATCTATTGTTGAGCCATCTTTCCTTAATGCAGGCACTCCTCCTAGGAAATACCTTAAAATCTGTAAAAGGAATTTTTGGCTCAAGAAGGTGGTCTAATAGCTCCCGATCAGTGAGTAATCTACATTAGGGATGGATTCGGTTCGGGCCACCCGGCCTGTGACCCGGCCCGGCCCGGTACTGTGCGGGCCCGGGACCGGCCCGGTCGGGCGGTCCGGGACCGGGTATGGGCCCGAACCGGTGGGAAGGGGCGGGGTGGGGCGGACTCGGTTCAGCATTATTGTGACCCGGCCCGGGTCCGGTTCAATTTTTAAATTTTTTTTTTGTAGTTTGGGCTCCTACTAGCTGTTGGGGGTGGGGCTGGGGACAACCCAAACGGCTATATAGCCGTTGGGTGGGGTAAAGGGGGGGGTCCGGGGGGGGTTGGGTGGTGGGGAGGGGGGTGGGTGGTGGGGGGGGGGGGGGTAAAAAACCCTATAAATACTCCTAATCTTAAACATTTTTTCATATCTCTTCTCCAATTCTTCCTAAATCCTATTCTTAACTCTCTACTCTCTAATTCTCTTATTCTCCATTCTCCAATATATTATATTTATTATTTATAGTTTATATTAATTATCTACTTATATAAACTATAAATAGATATAAATAGTATTATATTACTTATATTTGTTATCTAATTATATATTACTTATATATTTATTATATCTATTAATATAGTTGGAATTATATCTAATTAATTTGAAGTCATTCTATTACTCCCATCCGAAAGAACGAAAGTCCGAAAGAGGTACGAAATTATTCTATTATTTACACTTGTTTAATTACTAGTTAATTAGTATAGTTGGAATTACAATTTTTTATTAATGGTTACATTTGACTCTAGTTTAAAAAATATGTTGTACACAAAACTAGTTAATTCACTACTTAATTTGCTATAACTCGAATTAATAGTTAGATAAATAGTTAATTAGTTTTTTACAATTTTTTATTAATTGCTACATTTGACTCTAGTTTAAAAAATATGTTGCACACAAAACTAGTTAATTCACTACTTAAGAATTCAACTTGAAGGGCCTCCGGTTTTCAAGTGGCTTGATCTTCAACAAAAGGGCCGTTTTATGGCTTGGTCTTTTGTTTAAGGGCCTCCCGGGATATATGGCTTGATCTTCAATTGAATTTCAATTCAATCTTCATGTGAGCATCTTCAAATCTTCAAAGATTCGTTCTTCATATCTTCGAATCTTCAAAGTCTTGTTCTTCAGATCTTCGAATCTTCAAGCTTCGTTCTTCAGATCTTCGAATGTTCTTCAACTTTTGGATTTATTTTATTAAGAATCGACGAAATCATGAAGGATTATTCGTATATTCTTAATAAAAATCGTGGCTTGATCTATTCCTCTTCTTCGGAAACGTTCAGAGCCTTTCGGGAGTTCTTGAGAGCTTTTCTGCAGCGTTTCTTTGTCTGAAAATCCTCTCCCTTCCTCTCAACTGAGACCCCTATTTATAGGTGTGGAGGGGAATGAGATGCGTTTTAGGGTTCCAAAATTCGTCCATACCTTATGGGCCTCAAATAAAATGGGTTTTGGGCTCTATTTGCTTGCATTTAATAGCTAGAAAAATCAGCACTTGTTCGATGTATCTGGACAACTTCTTTAACAAGGTTCATAACTATTTTCCATGCATATGGATGAATTTCTTAACCATATTCATTGCTTTCTTTATCAATTGGATCATGGCTCTTAAATATTGAGCCAATATTTGATAATGGACTCAAAATTAATAGGACCGGTCCATTCTTTAAAAACTCAATTTATAAATAAATTAATTGGATATTTTAAATAATCCAAATTAATTTAATTACTAAATTACTTCTCAAGGCGTCCATATCACTATCTCTTTTTTATAAAGCCCAACAACTATCACGAGCAGCTCAGTAGATTTTGACAGTGGCCCAATAAGATATAATATAGCCCGCTAGCATTTAAGAGACCGCAATGACTACCATAATTGACCCAATAACTTTTATATGTCCACAAATGCCCTCTCGAGACTTGCTTGAATATTTTAAGAAGGGAAGCCAGTCTCGAAATAAATGGTCGAGACATCTGTTATGATATACTAGCAAAACTTATTTAATCAAAATAGCTTAAGAGCTTTAGAGCTTAGGATTAAGTATGCCATATTTTCGTAGGAAGAAATGGCCGGACAGGCAATTTATGTAAATTATGTCGGCTAGCCCATCAATTCAACTCAAAGAATGGACATGGGAAATAATTAATCCATCACGTAAGATCTCAAAACTTTTTATTCATTCTCTTATTCAAACCCAATTAATCGGCACAAAGCAGTATCTTCTTCGATTTAGACTTTTACAACTCCAGATTCAACTAGGATCCTAACTTTTAGAAGTCCTTATTCGAATATAATACCACAAGCTTCCTCCGCAGTTCCTTTGGAATTCTGAGATCCAAAATGCTTATAAATATCATCGGACAATTCATCTATACTCATATAGCCGGCCATTAACAAGAGTTCAGCAGGCCGAAGACAAAAAGGTAAACTTATTCATCCTCTTTGCACCTCCTTCGTTTTTTTATATTGTTGCAGGGATATCTCAAGGCTCAAATTCATCAGATGGAGTTTTTCTGGAAATTTGTTTATGCTGGTGGCGTTTAAAAATAGCTGGTGCGGCTCGCTGGAGAGAAACTGTAGACCCATTTGTGGGAGATGAAGTTCATGTGCCGCTGATGCTGTTATGCCGCCACGCTGTCGAAAGTTGATGCTGGAATCCGAAGTGGTCTGTCCAATTGCTGGTGGCTATATTTATACAAATCAAGAAGAAGAGTAGCTGGTTGTTGTTGCCTGAGAAGATGATGGAGCTGATCTTTGTTGCTGATTTCTGGTGAGCTCTGTGTGGTCGGACGCTGATCTTGGGGTTCAATTCCGATGGTGAGCACCAGACGGAGGCTTCAAGAAGGATTGTTGCTGATTCCTTCCTCTATCTGTACGTTCGCAGAAGAAGGTATGGCTGAAGCTTAAACCTGATTTCCGGCCAGAGGATAGATTTGGTTGGTTCCTGGAGAACATGAGGCGGCTGTTGCTGTCAGAAGTCGGTCTTGAGGAGATGCTGGCCAGATTTAATTTTGTCCGTGCGGCGAAGAGAAATTCAAGGAGCTTGTAGCGGTCCGGCGGGAGCTTGTAGCGGTCCGGTGGGAGCTTGTAGCGGTCCGCATGAGCTTGTAGCGGTCCGACGGGAGCTTGTAGCGGTCCGGCGGGAGCTTGTATCAGTCCGGCAGGAGCTAATTTGTTGCCGCAGAAGATGGTGGGAGGCCGATGCTCTGCTGTTGCTGCAGCCTGCAGAGTCTTCTTCGCGCTTATGTTCGCTGATGCTTTGCCGTTGCGGATGAAGCTGATGGCGGTGTTTGTTGGCCGAAGGAGAATGAGATGACGGATGGTAGCTGCTGGCTGGAGTAGCTGTTTCCTTTATATTGGGCCTGCTAGTTTTTTTTACTTGGGCTGCACAAAATTTTCCAAGGCTCCTTTTTTTGTTTTTTTTTGGTTTTGTTTGTTAACTTCATCAAATGATTTGATCATGGCGCCATTTGTTGAAGAGGGCGGAGTCAGGCCTATTGTCGGTTGTCGGTGCTACTTGAGGCCCTTCGTTGGGCTAGTGATATTGATCTAAAGAATTAGGTCGATTTCCGACCGTCGGTGTCGCTTGGGGCCCTTCGTTGGGCTAGTGATACTGATCTAAAGAATTAGGCCGATTTCTGACCGTCGGTGTTGCTTGGGGCCCTTCGTTGGGCTAGTGGCACCGATATAAAGAAATAGGTCTATTGCTGGTTGTCGGTGTCGCTTGGGGCCCTTCGTTGGGTTAGTGGCACCAATATAAAGAATTAGTCTATTTGCCGTCATCGGTGTCGCTTGGGGCCTTTCGTTGGGCTAGTGGCACCGATCTAAAGAATTAGGCCGATTGCCAGTCATCGGTGTTGCTTGGGGCCCTTCGTTGGGCTAGTGGCACCGATATAAAGAATTAGGCCGATTGTCGGTCGTCAGTGTCGCTTGGGGCCCTTCGTTGGGTTAGTGGCACCGATCTAAAGAATTAGGCCGATTGCCGGTCATCGGTGTCGCTTAGGGCCCTTCGTTGGGCTAGTGGCACCGATATAAAGAATTAGGCCGATTGTCGGTCGTCGATGTCGCTTGGGGCCCTTCATTGGGTTAGTGGCACCGATCTAAAGAATTGGTCCGATTGCCTGTGAATACAAAGCTCTGCTGATGCCATTTATGAAGGGCGGCCATTTTGCCGTTTATGAAGGCTGGCCATTTAGCCAGTTTGAATGACGACCACTTCAACGGTTTAAAGGTTAGAGCGGCGCCGGTAGAAGATGATATTCGAAGCTCAACTCAATCAATTTCAGGCGAGGCACAGACTTGAGAACTCTCACATCTTGGTATGACTTTGTTTTTCGTAATCCCTTTGGCTAAAAACTTAATTGGGTTTTGTTTTGTTATAACTGAACTCAAAAACGAAACTTTTGAGCTGCCTACGTACTCCTATGAAGGAGATCAAGTCAAACGTAGTTCATATGTACCATTTGAATTGATAATTTGAAGGGACCGTACACAGTTTTAGCTCATGCGGGCCAGGAGCTTGCGG